GAAAGCCCGATCAAAAAGAACCACCCCAATCTCTTATTGTCACCTTACTCTACATTTCCTTTGTTGCATTTACCATAACTGACATATCTAATTTAATTATCATCAGACTCTCCCAATAAAACATAAGTTCCATAAGGAGAGGTTGTCTCTGTTTTATAAACAGGTCCACCCATAGCAAGAACAGTACCTGTTATATATGGTATTTAATAAAACTTTTAAGATAGTACAATTTCTTAAATGTTTGGTTAGAGAAAAGGTACAATCACGTCAATCAAAACTAAGAGAGAGGTCATTTATTTCATCAGGACATTACAGGTTATTTTCATCTGTACTCAAGGGTAGATGGTACACAAAGAATAAGATCACACTTCACATAAAGATAAGTTGATTTGTGTAAAATTCCTTTGGGGCAAGTTGTTTTCATTCACGTATAAAACCATATTACAACAGTAAGAAAACTTAGAAATGACCACTTTAGAATATCTTCTGATCTTTCAAAGTGAACTAAATTTGCTTTAAGATTGTATCCCAGATCAACAAAAGAATGAAACTATTTAAAAAGTGAACCAAATCCTTATGTACAAACCAACATTAAGAATCATCCTTGAGGGCCTCCCCTGGTGGCGTAGCGGTTGAGCGCTGGGCTGCGAAGCTGCCACAGCCTCTGCAGCACCGGTTCGATCCCCGGACACCAGCGAGGGTCCCACATGGCGCGCAGACCTCTCCTGCCGTGCCTGCTGCTCCCCTCAGCAGTGTATTTCATTGGTCTGTCTGTTCTGTTCCCTGCTCTGGCTCTGGTGAATTCTCTCACCCTCCCGTGCTTCTGACTGTACCCAGTGCTTGTATAAATAAATAAATAAATCTTAAAAAAAAAAAAGAATCATCCTTGAATGAACCATACCCTAACCAAGAGAACAGTCTACTACAATTTGAATTAAGCCCATTTAGGAAAGAAATAACTAAAGAGTGAAGAACAATCAGACAACTGAGAAGAAACTCAAACCTCTGCCCTCACCAAAATTAAACCCTTTAAATTGCACATACACCAAGAGAGAAAACATTCTGGGCCAAAGAGCACAAAGACTCCACAAATTTTAAAGAATATAAATAACACAATGTTTGCCCTCAGGTAATTAAACTAATAATCAATTAAATTAATAATCACTAACAGAAAATCAGAAAATTGCAAAATATGTGGAAATCAACACATTTCTAAATAACATACAAATCAAAGAGGAAATTAAAGAGAAATTAAATGTATATGAAATAAATGAAAATGAAAACCTAACTCATCAAAATATATAGGATGCACTGAAAGCAGTGCTTAGAAGTAAATTTACAGCAGTGAGGCATATATTTAAAAAAGACAAAAATCTATAATCACCTAAGATTCCACCTTAGAGAAATAGAAGAGCAAATTAAATCCAAAGTAAACAAAAGAAAATAATAAGATTCAGAGCAGAAGTCAATAAAACCAGGAAATCAATCAAGCCAAAAGATGGTTCTTTGAAAGGACCAATAAAATCAATAAGCCATTACTCAGGTTAAGAAAAAAGAGAAGACACAAATGACTGGGATCAGAAACGAAAGAAGGGACATCACTATAGACTCTATAGATATTTTAAAAATAATGAAAGAACACTACAAAAACTCTATGCCCACTAATTTGACAGTTCAGTTGAAATGGACCAATTCCATGGAAGACATAACTTGCCAAAATTCACACAAGAGACCATCTGAGTAGGCCTCTATCAATGAAAGAAAATGAACCAATAACTCATAATATTCCAAAACAGAAACAGTAAGCCCAAATAGGTCCACTGGTAAACTGTCTAAAACATTTAAGGAAAAAATTACACCAATTCTCTACAATGTCTTTTGGAAGACAAAAGTAGAGGGAACACTTCTTAACTGAGTCTATGATGGCAGCATCTCCCTGATATCAGAACCAGACATTTTAAGAAAACTACAGATTACTAACTTTCATGAACATAGATGCAAAAATCCTAAACAAAATATCAGCAAATTAAATCGAACAACATATAAAAAGTATATACCACAATCATGTGGAATTTATTCCAGGTATATGAGATTAGTTCAACATTCAAAAACCAACTAAAGAAAATCCAACATACAACAAATTGCAAGTCAGATTATTACTCTGACAGCACAAAAGTCTCCAATATTTCCATATATAATGTCTGCATTTCCCTCCATTTCAAACTTAACTGCAAAATTCATTGATGATTAAGATTCCTAAATGACAAATACCATTGGAGTCCAAATAAGCATTTTTATCAAGCATCAGAGTGATTTTTATGCAAACTCAAGTCTGAGAAGTGGTGTCCTAACTCACTTTCCAAAACTCAGTTGAAATCAACTATCACATGACCATTAGAATAATTAGAATTATTTTTAATTTTTTCCCTCAGTCCTCTTTGAGCATATTTAATGTATTTCTCTTATACCAACATTATCTTTTACCAACCACCTCCACAATTCCTTAAAAGAAAATATTCACATAAACTCTAAGCAGAAGTTTACATACTTCCTCCCCCCCAAACTATTGCTCAACCCCAGCATGGAGTTACTACAGATGCTAAATAGATAAGTCATGAGCTATCTGTAATTCCAACAGCTAGTTCTAATCTACCTTTCTCCCATAAGTCAGTTTAAAAGACAAAAGATTTCCATTTGAGTAAAGCTGGTCTGGTACCAAAGTTTTCAAAAAGGAAAAAAGTATGATAGGACAAATAGGTTTACTCCTATAGTGTTATTTTCTATGGAATATCTTCATAACAATTTGAACATTAAAAATAACTGAATATTCAATATCTTTAATCAGGATCATAATTCTATTAATTGCTCACAATAGGCGAACATTACTACAGGCACGCATCTACTGAATTTTGGTCTCCATAATAGGTCAGAGAGAGAACAAAATGATTTTATAATTGATTTAAACAAAAATAAAACCAAGGTGTCCTACAATGTTATTTCCACTCAGAAGGAGTAATTAAGATAGACGTGAAATACTATGCCAAACGTATGAACAAAGACTCCAAATATTACCTACATGATGTATATAGAAAAAATAAATAAATACAAAGGGAAAACTTGAGAAACCAAAAGCGCAAAGGAAAAAAATAGTAGAAATCAGACTAAATTTCATTTACTCAGAAACATGCCTATGGGGGGTGGGGAGGAACCTGAGTCAAGTCATAGAATGATAAATTTAAGAGAGCGAAGGTGTTTTAATCCCCAGCAAGTTCCATGTCTCTTAGATCTAAGAGGTAACTGGAACTCTTACCTAAGTTGAGTGATTTTGTTAGATTCATATACTAATTATAGGCAGAATTTGGGTCTTCAGAGTTCAGGTCTAGTATTATTTTCATTATGTCATTAGGCCCAACCACTGCAAAAGTTCTCATAACCAAGCAGAGTCCTAAATAAATTGAACCCATGCTCACCTCACTAATGGTTAACCCCCGCCCCCCTTTTTGGTAAAGATTTCAAGCACAGACATACTTGCACATACGGAGTTATCAATTTCTTAGCTAGGAAACTAAAGCTGAGTTAAATAATTATTAAGTCAGAAATACAAGCAACACCGGAATGGAGAGGGTACAACTACCTAGCCTTAGTGGCATTCTCTTAACTGACATTCTGAGAAAGAGTTTACATTAGGTTAAAACACAACTACCTCTTCTGAATTGGCAAGGGGCAAAGGGTTCTTCTAGTAATTACAGAATACTGGGAACAAGTTCCCATTCAGCTTTCCATGATTAATAAAAAGTTAACAATTTTAATTTCACTGTCTTCAAATTTGCTTACCAAGAAATGAAAAGCTGAGCTTAAAGTAACAAGTGGAGGCCTAGTTTTAGTACAGACAGTGTCAAACTACTGTTATTTCAGGTAAAGCGCTGCCTACTTCTAGACTTCAGATTCTTCCCTCTGTAAAACTGGGGTAAGTTGGTTAGGATAATGATTACCTTTGGTTCCTTCCAGTTCTACTGTTCCCTAACGTTGTCTAATTTCACTGATACAAAGAGGGAGAGAACTCTTGATGAACACAACCTGAATTATTCACTGAGGTTTAAACATACACACACAGCCCAGAGCCAGAGGTTATCTGGGAAGAGAGCACCAGGAACCCCATTATTTTAAAGGTTTGGGTTTTTTTTGTTTGTTTGTTTCACTTTCAGTTAAGTTTCTAAAAGTCATTCAGAAGTCAATCACTGTAAGCTGGCAATATTTGGCCCTGAAAAACCATGACAAACTGGAGTTCAGTTGTAAGACGGCCTTTCGTTTTTTCAATTAACCTGCTACTTTTCTGTTCCATACAAGAGCATTTTAATCTCCCTTGCCATCTACCATCACTAGTTTTCTTTTCTTCCATGTCTTCCAGATGATGGTTTGAAATCTTTTCTATAGCCAAGTCACAGACAATGTTGAATTTTGTCGGGCCCCAAAGTCTCTCCTTTACTAAGTCCTTACTTTTTGGACCCCCTTACCACTTCCAAAACGACTGAGTCTGAAAGATAGCTGACTTTGCTCTTTAAGTGGCAGGTGTTAATCCTCCACAAGAAAGGGATCGTTGTGAGCACTTGCAAAGGCTAAAGTCATTGTCTAAAATCTCAAGTTCTTGGTCACTGCCCTTCAGCTGAGAAGGATGCCGAGGAGGAAGGAGGTGATGAAGCCGGCAAGGTCAAGTGCGACCACCTGGCGCCACGGGCCGTACATAGAGAGGGCCACGCACATGCTGGATACCTCCTGTATACTCCGGGACAGACCTCGAGGCTGAGCTGCAGGGACGCTGCCTCCTCCCGGGGCCAAGGGCTCTGACGCTCCCGGGCAGGTGGGAGTCCTGCCCCTTAGCTCATCCCCTCGCACCCGCCCGCTCCACCGTCTACTAGGCACCCGGCTAGCTCCCTTCACCGGACAGAGCTGCCGGCCCCTTCTCCCCACTGTTGTTACCAGAGCCCTTACAAAGGACTCACCATGGCTCCAAGCACAGGTCGTGAACCCGACGCCCAGTACTCGCCGGGACGTCCCGGACCTCCCCTCCAGAACCAACAGCCGGGAACCTCTCAAGACCGCGAGGGAGAGGGTCTTCCGGCCCCGCCGGAAGTTCTGCCCGAGCGGGACAGGAAGTCCCGCCTCCCTTCGGAACGCCGGCGACCCCACGCCACGCAGAGGTGAGGATACGCAGGACGTCCTCTACCGCCACTTCCGTGGGTGCTAGGTTAGGGGCTCGGGGCGGTGCTGACCTTGTTAGCGCGCGCGGGAGGCGCAGGCGCAGCACAGGTAGGTGGGCGGGCGAAGGGCCTTTGCGGAACCTGCGAGAATCTTGAGGTAGGTTGGGCGGGTTGAGCCGCAGCACATCCTCGCTCTAGGTGGTGGATGGAGGCACAGGTTCGTGGATGGGTGGGGGCGCACCGAGACTTAGCGGATTTAGTGAGGGGAAAAGCCGCTGATGGTTGCGCTGGTAATTGTCTGATGTCTACCACGCCCTTTTTTTTTTTTTACCTTCTCATTTTCTTGACTGTCGCCTTTCTTGGACACTTTCCGGATCATCACGGACCTGACCCTTTGTCGTTGCTGCTCTGTTCTTGAATGGGTCCTCCAGCGCTATCCTCCCTCGGGGCAGAGGGATTTGATCACGAGAAGTTTCTTCAGTATTCGCAGATACCAGCTGAAACCAGAAGGACATCTTCCAAGAGCTGAGAAACCGGGAAGAGAATTCTGCCCGTTTAATACATTCCAGTATGGACGGTCTACTATTAGTAGATGGGATGGAAAATGAGTGAAACTCCCTAATACCTTCTGAAACTTTTCCCCCCAAAACCTATACCTGTCAACTCTTTTTGCCTTGTTATTTGACTATATTGAAACAAAGTACTGAAGGCAGGCTTGAAATGAATATGCAAAGCATCGTTGACCCAGAAAGTAATCTCAAAATTTGGGGATCCTTGCTTAACTGGTGGCTATATCTACAATTAAGTCTATGGGCTTTTTTATTTTTCCCCGTATAGTGTCTGTTTTTGTCATAAAGCTGGAATTGCAGGAAACTGGAAACTTCAGAAGTTAAATTTGGGCAGGCAGGAGTGGCTATAGATACTAAGTTTCATACTCCTACCAAAGTATCCGGAAGGCATGATACCAAGCTACAAATAAGCCAAAGACTCGGTATCAGTTCTGAGCCATCCAAAAGAGGCATGCTTAGCACTATTGCTTTCTGGTAGGAAGGAGGCTAGAGACCTAGTGTATGAGTTATGTCGTTTTTACTTTAAATTTTGTGGGGATTTGAATAGCATGACAATTAGAGAAGACAGTGGAATCGTAAGTACTAACTGAAAAATAGCTGGAGGTGGGTGGGACTGGGAAATAGTGAAACAGATCTTGCAGAGGATCAATCCAGAACTTCCCTGAGGGTTCCACTTCTGCTGTATAGGGACAAGGTTGTAAATAGACAAGCCCCAGGACATCTGCAGATGGTGTGGTAGAGAGTGATTGGTATCTGGAGTATCTGTGGGAAGCAGATGCTGCACTTGAAGGAAAAGTGGAGAAGGAATGGGGTATCAGTCAGTGACACACATGCTTTAAGGTTATTCTTTCATTTTTGACACTGGTTCTTAAATCCATCCTAAACCTGGCAGCTTCACTGAGGTTATCATTTTTAATTGAGACAGGATTCTGGGTTCTTTGGTGTAAGGCAAGTTGATAAATAACCCTTGGTTAATATCCTTTAATGTTGCTATTTCAATTAGAGTATGAAACAATGTTTTTAGAGATTAAAATGTACACAATACATGTTTTAAGGGTGCATCTCCCAGTCTTTTTTTTTTAATCCCACAGAAGCATTACTTTTTGTATTGGTTATGTGCCTTGAAGTAGAGGAATTTACCTATTTCCATTATTTAAAAAGGATGGGGCTCTGACATATATAGATAGAAAAAGAATTATAACAGGAAAGAAAAATATGTGGATAAGATGAAAAATAAATTCCATAGTTTTGACAAGGGAGTTAGGAGTCCAATCTTTGAGAAGTCTTACCAACACAAAGATACCTCCTCCAATACCCACAATAACCTGTAACTGTTAAGACCTATTAACTCCTCCACTAAGAACTTTCCTCTGCTTTTTCTTTAATAAATGTTATATTTATACTGTGACTCTGTGATATTTTTTGCCCCAGTGCATATTGTTTTCCCAATTGAACACCTGAAGAGCACAAGCCTTGTTTTTGTGTTGTCCATCCCTCCCCTTCCCCTTAAGAAATACCATTTAAATGAATGTTGTGGATAAAAGCACTTCACTTAAATTTCCCTTAAAATGTTTTATAGACAAAAATGTTAGTTGTGGCAGTACTTATAGTGCTAAAAATTAAATAATTTTTAACAAAGATTGATAAAATTCTATCGTGTAGATGGTGGAAGATTAGGGTTTTTTTTTTTTTAATTAAATCTTAAACTAGACTTTCTAATGGGAAATGTTTGTTTTCTAACTTAAAAGTACAGGATGTGAAATTGTGAGCAGTTTGTTTTAACATGAAAAAAAGTCCTAAGCATAGAACAAAATATAAAAAGAAGTAACCAAAATATATATCAATCACTATTACTGGCATTACCACTCTGAAATAACCTTTCTGAAAGAGGGAATTTTATTTTTAAATTAACTTTCTTTTACTTCAAACCATTTTGGATGGTTTGAAGGAAATTTTTTTTTTCCAGGTTATGCTTTGTAACATCCACCTGTATTCATATTTTCTAATTTGGGGAAAATAAGCTATTGTGTTCCACAGAAATATATGGCAACCCTTTAAAATTGACTAGCCTTCTGAACCTTTACTTACATGTATGTGTGTGTGTGTGTATATATATATCCCATATATCTGATTAATTGGTGGTAATAACAGCCAATTTTAAACAAATTATTCAATGTACATTTTCAAGGATTATATCATACATAGATGGGCTCTTGATATCATTTGATACCTTTCAGTATCAGGAAAGTTTAAACAATCGCGAAGAGCATTAAAACCAAAAGATGGTGCTTATCTTTTTAAAATCTAAATTAGTTTCATTCATTCATTATATATTATCTACAGTGTCCCAGTTACTGTTCTAGACTTGGGGAAACAGTGGTAAATGCAGTAAACATAGAATTTACATTTTAATGGCAAATAGACCATAAATAGGTAAGAAAGATAAAAGAGTACTGGGCAGGAAATTAAAATAGATGAATTAGATGACTAATGAAAGCTTTTAAGAAATGCCATTTAACTGCTATTTTACAAAAGAGTCCAGCTTTGCAGAAATTGGGGAAACCATTGCTTGCAGAGAGGACAATAACAAAACTCTGAGGCACAAAATAGCTTGGAATATTTCAGAAACTAAAAGAGGGCCTGCCTGGTTGAGCAGTGTGACTAAAAGAAGAGTTAAGTTTGGGGGTTAAAAGCCAAATCTTGTTGTCTGAAAGCCTTTTGAAGAGGGTTTGGATTTTTATTCTAAGTGCAATGGAAAAAGCATTTCTTAAAAATTTTCAGAATTGAAAGGGATGAAAGATTTAAAAAAATGTTTTTGTTTGTATTAAGCAACTATCAGCAACTACATTATTTTTCAAACTTTTATTTCTACATGGGATGACAATGCTGTCTGTCACATTAATTGAGCTAGTTTTCTTCCTGTGCCTTGACCACTGCCCAACTAAGAGACAAAATGCCCAGAATTAAAGGTTTTTTTTTTAAGGAGTTCCTGATCTCTCATGTCAAGTCTGCTTGATCAACACAGATGTTATGTTAGAAAAGTACCAAAATTGCTACTTTATAAAGTAAGTTTCCCATGCTTAAAATTTTTGTCATTTTTCTTTTCTTTTTCTTTCCCCTACAACCATCTTTTTTGACTCCTTGTCCCTTTCCTTTCTCCCTCCCTCTTAACCTCAGAACCCTCAGGATGTTTGTTGATAACCAGTTTTTGAAAGTTTTATGTTGTCCAATTTGTTATGTGAATGTCTAATGTTTGTTTTTATTGTTCTGACTTGTGGTAAAACAGTATTTTTTTTTAAATCCCCTCCATTTTGTTGAAAATGGCTGTATTTTGTCCTTCCTTGTGGCTGTATAATATTCCAGGATATGTATGTATCACATCTTTTTGATCCATTCACCTATTGAAGGAGATTTGGGCTGCATCCATGTCCTAGCTATTGTATAGCATTATGTACATAATGCTGATTGTAAAATATAGGGGGTGGATATATGCCCAAGTGTGGGATTACTGAGTCTTGTGGTATTTCTATTTAAAAATTTTTAAGGTAAATCCAGATTGCTTTCCATATGGATTCACCAGTTCACAGTCCTACCAACAGAGTAATAGGGTTCCATTTTCTCTGTATCCTCTCCAGCACCCATTGGGTTATGTGTAATTCTCATGAGCGTGAGGTAGTATCTCATTGTAGTTTTAATCTATATCTCTTATTATGAGTGAGGAAAAAAGCATTTTAAACTGAGGAATAATATGAAATGATATATATTTTTAACCTACTTGATAATTTGCTTTTTTTTTTTTAAAGATTTATCTATCCATACAAGAACTGGGGTATAGGCCAGAGGTGTGGGAGAGTGAGAGGATTCACCAGAGACAGAGAAGGGAACAGAACAGGCAGACTGACTGAAATACACTGCTCAGGGGAGCAGCAGGCAAGCCAGAAGAGGTCTGCTGCACCATGTGGGTTGCTCCCTGGCTGGTGATTGAACTCACGCTGCAGTGGCTGCAGACAGCTTCATAGGTTGCATCTTAACCCCTTGCGCTGATAATTTGCTTTTTAATTAAAGTGTTTTATCAGCTTACATGTAGTATAATTATTAATGTATTTGGTTTTAAATCAATATTCATATTATTTGTCCCTTCTCTCCTGTTAATTTTTCTTTTTTTCACCTTTTTAATTATTTTTTTAAAGATTTTTTTTTTATTTATGCATACAAGAACTGAGGTGAGAGAAGTGAGAAGATCCAGAGACAGAGTGGGGAGCAAAACAGGCGGATCTATTGAAATACAGTGCTGAGGGGAACAGCAGAGGAGATAGGAAGAGAGATCTGCTGTGCCATGTGGGTTAGTTCAGTCCCTGGCCAGGG